ACGTAGTGTGTGTGTGTGTGTGTGTGTGTGTGTGTGTGTGTGTGTGTGTGTGTGTGTGTGTGTGTGTGTGTGTGTGTGTGTGTGAGTGTGTGTGTGATGCTCTGCCTCGCTGCCTCTCTGTCTCGCTGCCCCTCTGCCTCTCTGCCTCTCTGCCTCTCTGCCTCTCTGCCTCGCTGCCTCTCTGCCTCTCTGCCTCGCTGCCTCGCTGCCTCTCTGCCTCGCTGCCCCTCTGTCTCTCTGTCTCTGCCTCACTTCCCCTCTGTCTCTCTGCCTTTCTGTCTCGCCACACGCTTGCGCTTATACGCCCTGGTTGCGCAGGCTGCTGGCCTCAAGGATGGCACGGAAGGGCTGGCACACCTGATCCAGCACCAGTGGAAGCAGGAAGCAGCCGCAACGTTCAAGGCTGACAAGCACTACGACTCCAAACGTGCAAAGGCCTACACGGCAAAGAACATCGTTGCCCAGGACAACCAGACCCGCGTGGCCGTTGCCGCGCTCGCCCCAATTGACCCACCGCCACCATCACCACCATCCCCGCCATCACAATCACCACCATCACCATTATCCTCTCCGCTGCCAACAGCACCACCACAAACACGCACCAACCCTGATCTGTGGCTGGACGTCGGGTGCGGCACGTGTCTCAGCTCGCGCGCTGCAACGCAGATGTCACGCAACCACCACCGGGTCATCGGCATCGACATCAGTCAGGGCATGCTGGAGGAGCGCGTGCACGACGGTGCACTTGACGTTGTGCGCTGCAGCTTCACGCAACCGCTTCCGTTCAGGGATGGCGTATTTGGCGGCGCCTTTGGTATTGCCAGCATCCACTTTCTCAACTGCGCAAGCGCAACAGACACACGCGCAGACGACGTCACTGGCAGCACTGCTACAGCATCAACAACAACAGCAGCACCAACAGCCCCAACGCCAACGCACCCGCTTCACACCGCTTCCGCTCATCAGCAACTATCGTCATCACCGCCTTCAGCACCTTCATCGTCATCATTGCCTTCATCGTCGTTGTCGTCGTCACGCCCACTGCGACTTTTGGCACTGACACATCCGGCCGTCACCCGTCAGCGCGCAGCATTCTTCTCGTCGCTGCACACCGCCCTCGTAGGCACACGTGCAACCGCAGCACATCCGCACCTTCAACACCGCGTGCCAGTGACGCAGCAGCAGCAACACGGCAACAAGGCAGGGGAAGAAGAAGTATTGCATGATGCACCACAGTTGACGGATGGTGTGACAGCGCAAGCGGTAATGACGACGACGACCACCACCACCACCACTACCAATGAAAGCAGCAGCAACAGCAGCAGCATCAGTGGGGGCGTTGGCAGCGATGATGGGGAACATGAGCCGCAAGAGGACGGTTATAGGATGGATGCGCAACACCCCAACGACAGCCGCTGCTGCTTCCAGCTGTTCCCGCAGCAGGATCGTCAAGAGGAGGAGATGGATGCACTCTGCACGACGGCACGTGCGTGTGGATTCGACGCCACGCCGTTTGTAGCGTGGCCGCACCACACACCGGCGCCGCGCTGGTACCTGCACCTCCGCAAGCACACGCGTCACGAGGCACAGCCTGGCGTGGGGCAGGAGCATGCTTGCAGGCAACCAGCAACGCCACCCGCGTATTGTAGCTGTCTGTTTCTGAAGACAGCGACAAACATCAGCGCGCCCTGTATTCTGTCGGTGCAACACGTCTTGCTGGACACAAGCGATGATGGCGATGGTGATGATAGCGATAGCGGTCATGGCGATGAGCATGAGGTGTGGATATGGCATGTGAAGCAGCACTGCAGGTTTGCACGCAAACTGGTGCGAACGCTGCTGTGGCAGGAACAACTGGCCGCACAAGAACAACAACAACAACAACAACAACAACAACAACAACAACAACAACAACAACAACAACAACAACAACAACAACAGCAACAACAACAACAACAACAACAACAACAACAACTGTGGAAGCGGCGTTTCAGAGCAAAGGACAAGGGCATGAAACCGCTGACGTCCGCGGAACATGTTGTTGCCGTGAACCTTCGAAGGGCCATGGGGGATGATGCAACCTTCGAGGATTACGTGCAACACTACAAGCACACCATTCACCCAATCCTGCACCCAGCAGCGTGAAGTGTGTGTGTGTGTGTGTGTGTGTGTGTGTGTGTGTGTGTGTGTGTGTGTGTGTGTGTGTGTGTGTGTGTGTGTGTGCTCGCTCGGCTGTGCTTGCGGGACATTGGGTTGCGACTGTTCATTTATTGGTGTCTTTCTAAATCGGATCACATATAATTTAACAAGCCACCTGCTCAAAAATGGAGAGTGAACACAAAAGAGACGGTTGTCACCTACATATTATCGTTTCCCACCACCCGGCACTGACCACCAATCACAACATCCTAAACATTAAGCGCGCCAGGAGTATCTGGTGGCGAGGCTGCAGCCATTCAGG